AATCGAATTTCAAGAAATTGTCGCTGTGACCACATACGTCAGAGGCAACTGTTCTTATTTCAGAATTCCCACGGCTGTCTTTAGCCACTTTGCTGATGTGGCAGGTGTTCTTTCCTCGCATGAGGGAACTTTGAGAGGGCGTCCAAACACTGTGCGCAGGTGGCAACCCATCCCAGACCGTTACGACACCTGACTCCTACCCCACTACGCTCCCTCCCACCCGGCAACCCTCACGATTGGCCTGCGTAAGCTCGCCCAGAACAGTTCACTGAATTTCACAAAAGCGTGTTGTGGCCACACGCAGCAATGTGAAAAACCAAGTCTCGCTTGGGACTCGTAGCTTAGGTGACTAGAGCGCCGAAGTTGTGCCCTTGTCGTGGGTTCGAATCTCGCCTTAGGACTCAACCTAGAGCCAGAAACGGTCATCCCAATCATGTCATCGGTACTTCAAACGACCAAAGAATTCCATATTCCGCACACCTGGGTTTGGTACGGCTAGCTGACGGCGGATAATGAGCCAGAAATAGCAATCCCAGTCTCCCTTGTCTTTCTCGGCATTCTTTTCTCCGTATCATTACCGGACTTTGAAGGCCCTAGATTGAGCCCTAAGGTGGAGCAGAGAGAGCAGGTCCTATAACCTGATCGGTGAACGCCCACCTTATGCCGATAAGATAAAAATGCTAATGGGCTTACTCTACTTCCAACGCCGGTACGAGCTGAAAGTCCAGACATGTCTATTTTTCGCCGCTCTGTGGAGAAAGTACGGCCTCCCTCGTCTCCGGTCTTCTTGACTCTGTCTTGACACCGCGCTCGGGCGAGGGAGGTGGAGAGAGTGTAGGTAGATGCAGCGCAAGTCTACTGGCACTATAAACCCCTGCGCAAGTCACCGTCCCTGCTCCAACCTGCTGTGGGGCACACGGTGGACATCATCGAAATCGATGGTCGAACTGTCACGAGGGGTTCGGCCCACCAATGTGTCTTCAGGCGTTCAATGCGCGTTCTCTGGTACGTACTTTCATTTTTGGTGTATGTTGGGAGTACGGTAGTTCTATCAGTAATTATATACTACTGGCTGCCTGTTAGCAGAATGTGAATATTGGGCGATTATTCCGCTGAAACGGGCGAATTTTAGAGTGGATATACATATCGAATTTTGGGCCGGACCTGCGAAGGCGAGTGCGAAAGAATTCGCTCGAAGCTCACGTAATAATGTTCGGAGAAATTAAAAGGCTTACCGTAATGCAAAGTCCATTTACTCTGTCCAGGTAAGCTCTTGGCAATGAATATTGAGGGGGTCACTACGTTTCTTAATCAGTTGCAAGAGAAAGAAATAATATACTGCAGGTTGTGACCCACGAGGCTGTCACGTCTCGAGAGGATTTCGATCTTGTCTAACTTGAAGGCGTTACCGGGTCCCGCCGAACGAGTCGGAACCTGAGAGCTGACGTCACCCCTTGCCGCCGAAACGTTCGCTCATCCGCGTCCCGAGTAATCCCCCAGCCATGATCAGCCCTGGTAACCTCAACGCTGACTGTGCGCGCGTACAGTTTCTGATGAAACCGCGCAGACATGGAAATGTTAGCGGCAAGGACGAACGTCATTACTAGATTTACTTATTGACTCTCCTCCCCTCACCCTTCATGAGGTCAAGCCACCGGATTAAGCTAGGTAGCTGACGTCGGAAAAACAAAATGCACAGAAAGTGAGCCCACACCCTGACAACGGCATATCTCCGCTGGAGAAGATGCGTCCCGAAGAGAACGGGGATAGTGCGAACGACTGAGGCACACTGTTTTCCAAATTACGCCAGTGGTCTCATGGATCTGTGGTAGCGTCTGGCTTAACGCTAGGCCTCTCGCGAGTGTCTGCACATGAGCACCAGAGCTGTCTGGCGTTCGCCCACTCGGCTTCCCAACCGACCAATCAGATTCAGGGCCGAATCAGGCGTGGCCTGTCTTAAGACACTTCGACGCACGCACTTGGGACGCGGCTCACCCGGCACCGGGCGTGCCCTCGTCCGGTCCCCAACTTTCTCCAGCTACTTCTCCAATTATTCTGTACAGAATATATTATCTCCCACGGCTCTTTCCATTCGGGACCGGGTCTGAATGTCGTGGTAGTCAGGATCTCACGCTCGGCATAGCCTATCTGCGATAGATCCACAAACCGGTAGCATTGATCGGTCCAAATGTTTGATAGGATGTTTGCTACCTGGCGCCTTATAAGAACCGAATAAAAAAGAAGTATTCATTCAACTGTGTAGAAGTCGACGACCTCGGCGGGATTGGAACCCACGACAGGAAGGGGAATGATTACATATGGAATCCTGCTTGGGCAGTCAGCTTACTGTATCGGGTTCGGTGGATTGCATGCGTTTCAGTAGGCTGGGGGTATAACTTGGCCTAAATGTGATTGAGTTTACGGCTCTCAATGGGGTTTTGAAGCTCAGGTGACGAGAGCGTTGGCCGTACTCAAGCCTTTCTCTAGCTGTCGAGTGTTCGAATCCCGCCAAGGTCACCGACTTTTTCACAATTAGGTCAGAATGAATTATTCAAAATCAGCCAAAAGGGCTGCTAATAAAGTTGTATTCGGCAAATGTTTGTGAAATTCTAACAAGAACTGCGTGAGAGACTATAAACGAGATTGAGCCAGAAATCTGAGTGTAGTCGTGAATACCCTGATCACGGCGACTGAATAACTTCGCGACGGTTAGAGAGGTTGAGGAGTTTTTCCACTGCTCTGCTCTCACAGAAGACAGGCTATGGACCGTCGGACTGATCACAATCTGAGCGTTACCTGTAGCAATACTGTGTGCGGAAATTCAAAGCCAGAGGGACAGGGCGAACTGGGGATACTTGATCGAATCAGAGCTCGCGAGCGGCTGGCAGAACTTAGTGACTGAGGTGCGTCACTAGCGCTGGTCAGGGTGAGTCGATGTCGAGCTACGGTCGACCAATCAGCCTGCGGCGACAAGGCCTGAACGAGGAGATTCCGCATTGATGACGATGAACGCAGCAGATTTCCTGTGGATCGGAATAAAAAGACATCCATCTAGAGTTCACTCATGGTTGTATTGTGTCCGTGTCTGCACGACAAATTCACCGACTGAGTCACCTGCGCGTTCGAGCGCTCGGTCGGTTGGCTAATTCGGAGGCGCAGGGTCATGAGGCATTAAGGGTGACGAGTATTTCCTGTCGCCGCGCATGAGACGGCACCTGCTTATGGACCATGTCGTGATCCGACGCAGTTGGACGAGGGCTGCGGCGTGAGGAGTAATCGTACGATAGCGGCAGGATCACAAGTGATCTCGGTTATCTCGATGATCGTCTACCGACGGCCGGAAACCGGGAAACGGGACGCTTGAGTGCCTCCCACAGTCTCCAATGCTGTGTCATTACCGCTTCTTCTTCTTCTTCTTTTTCTTCTTCTTCTTCTTCTTCTTCTTCTTCTTCTTCTTCTGCCCATCTGAGGATCGCGCAACCGCGTTTTTATGGTAAACAGACACGCAAGTTGACGTAGACTCGGCCATCTTACGATGCTGGAGTGGTGTTCTTGTGGCAGTCCACGCCAGTAATCGCCAGCGCGGCCTCTCGTCCATGCCGCCTTCGATTCGCCCAACTTCCCCTGTCATTTCGCCGCCTGAGTCACAATTGACTTAGCACCGGCGTGATGAGAGTTGGACGTCAATCGACGCGGCCTCCTTCGCTGATTGGCTGAAGGCGGACAAGGCCCAGGCGCACGCTCGCGCCTCGAGTCGAAACTAACAACCTAAAATGACTGGACTCGGCCGGTGAGAACACTTGCTGTCACTGCCTGCTGGGCCACGTGTACGCTCGCTGGCCTCGGTAAATCCCGTCCAATAACTCTGCTGACTTTCGATTTGGGAACGTTGCGTTGCCAACCCCTCACACTACGAGAGACTCACTCCAGAAATCAGTCGGCAGTCGTAGCAGTGTGACAACAGCTGAAGTAGAGTGCAAGCCCTGACCACCACGACCTGCATGTCAATAATAAATTAGAAGTAAACAGACATCCGGAAAAGAAGGTTTGCGGTCGTAAAGAAGGACTGACCTATAGTTGGGGTAATCAACTCCAATCGGGTATGCGTCAAGGTCAGTGTTTTTTGCGCGTCGACCCAGTCAACCCAGATTAGTGTAGGCACGCTGCTGCATTATGACAGTTTCGTTATATGTGGCTACCGGATTGGTTAGTTGGATGGGAAAAACATCACACAATACCCCAAATTTCACATGAACGAACTGCACTTTGTTCGTGCATGTGAGAGCACGAGGCAGGCCAAGACAGTCCTGTGACGGATGGTGCGGGCAGCCGGGTCACCATAGTCTCACTTGTGGAGTGCATCCTCGCCCACTCACATCCGTCGACTGCAAATTTCCTGTCCTACAAACTGGTGAATCCAGTGGTAAGCTCTGATCCTTAGTAGGCAAGTTCTGCGGCATGCAACTCTAGAGAAGACCGAAGCTATGTGGGATTTCTGCTCTGACCACATCTCCCAGGGAGGCAGAGTCCTGGACCTTCTATCAGTGCTGAGTTGAGAAGTTCGACTACCTCCACGTAGGCTGTTCTTGAAGCATCCTCTGGGTGAGGTGGCGATGGCGGAAAGAGTACACTAATATCGCTAAACCTTCTCGCCCACTGGTAGTAGGGTGCTTGACCTTGGCCCAAGAGTTTGTCCTCGAACCCCCGGTCTCCCTGACTGAGATCGAGATGTGGCTGACTGGGTGTCAAAAATTAGCCAGAAATGGCTAATACAGTCGTTCCCAAACTGTCGGCATTCCTTCAAAATTCACTGTCCTTCCTTATGCAACCCCTTGAAGGAGTTCGATATTTCGCTGGAGGAAGAATCAAAATAAGCATGCTCCTTTGTGGAATCGAATCGACGAGGGGCCACTTCTATATTTATTTGCCTGTTCAATAACATGGGTGAAGCAAACTCAGTTTCTAGGAGAGTCCACATCACTAGACCATCGTTTACCAAAATGGTTGCTCTTCGACAGCAGAAGAAGAAGAAGAAGAAGAAGGAGGAGGAGGAGGAGGAGGAGGAGGAGGAGGAGGAGAAGGAGGAGGAGGATAAAGAGGACCTTTCAATGGGAACCAACAAGACTTTCTTAATACGTCACACATCAAACCAAGTATTCAAGACAAGGGGCGCAGGACTGGCGGCGTGGTCGCATGCTGTGAAAACCGGAGCACCATACAACTGGCAGCCGTCATTACGACACATGATGTTCCTGTTCAGTACCGCACTGCGTCGAAATCATTCACCCTGCCTGTGGTCGGTTTCAGACTCGCTGACCTTACAGTCAGACCGACTGCAATGCGCGCGCACGCACTCATATTCCAACTGGACGGGCCACTCCTGAGTCAATGCAGCGCAGACCATTTGGACGAAAAACCCTTAAACTCGTTTCCAAAAGCCCTTAGAAGCTGCTGACACCACCGTCTCTATCTCTGGCTGGTTTAACACCGTTGCCCTACGCCCAGGACTCGTTGGTGAATACTTCTGCCTAAGACAGCGGCTTGGAGTTCTGCGTACGATAAATCCCTATTTTCGGCGCCTTCTGTTCTCTCCTACCATTGGGGACTTGGCTTGTTAACTGCAGTGTCCCAAGATACAACCATTAGTAAAGCCACCAAAGCATCATCAGGGGAGGTAAAGACAATGTATACATGAAGTGGGCTGTGGTGAGGGAGGCCGGGAAGCATAGGAGACCCAGGGGGGAACAAGAGGAGTATGTAACGTCCCTTGAACTTAACAGAGTTGGTTGAATGATGTGACACTTTTTAGGCGATCAGGTATAATGGAAAGAGACGGGAATTGGAAATAAGTATAATAATGGTTAAGTGTACAAGTAGGATAGGTTACAGCAATGGAGTAACCTGTCTGGATGGAGAGGCGACTCTGACATGCCGGCTAAACAATCGGTTGGGTATGTAGCGCTTTGGGCAACTGCAAGGAAGCGACGAGGGGTGTGCCGACGTAGAGAGAGAGAGCGATGCGAGCGTAGCGATAAGTTGCGGGGAAGGGGGTCGGCGGTAGTGAGATGAAGGGACACCGGACTTGTCCGCTATGTAACGTCCCTTGAACTGAACAGAGTTGTTTGAATGATGTGGCACTCTTGGAGGGCGGATCCAGGTTGAAGATGGTGTGACCGCATGTCGGCGAAAATAACCAGTGTTCTGCCCTCGCATCCCCGCGGACTCCTTTTCCGCTGTTACCGCAATTACTATACCGTATCTCTGTCTGTCTGTCTGTCTCTCTCTTTCCCCCTCTACGTCGGCACTTCCCACGGCCCCACCCCTCAGGCCAACAGCGCTGCATTCCCCAGCGGTTGTCTAGCTGGTTTTTGGTGTCTCCTCTTCATCCAGACGGATAATCACTTTTGCTGTATTCCTCATTGCCCTCCTTGTATAATTTGACATTTTCCTACGTGTTTATGCCGCTGCTCTTGGTATACGTATTTCGCACCACTTGACTTTTTCTACTGTCAGCTTGGACGAGATCGATGGCCCGTTTAACAACTCTCTCCGGATCAGATTAGCCAGAAATTATATCTAGTGCTCCACGTTACCCTCTGTGTGCCACCCTCAACGTCTTCGGCCGCTACGGGTATTCAGCTTGGTTTTCGCGTTAGCCGCCTGATTGTACGAGGTGTTCCTTCCACGCTGATCCCACCTACTGACCGGGATTCATCTGCTACTCCACAAAGGGCTTCCATGAGCGTAGTCACTACGTTCCCAGTAGACACTTTGATTAGCAGGTGAACTTCAACTATGGAGGTGACCGACGTGCCTCCAAAACGGCGGTGACCTCAACAGCAGATCATAATTCACTGACACACTTCCACTGAGTTTCAATTCACGTAAAACGCACACACCCTGTTGTATTCCTCTTCCGTGACAATATCACGTGAGTGCCATAAACACGGCATACCACGAGACAACACGGCTTGTTTTATTGTTGCACACTCTTTAGTCAAACAGACCCAATACCCCCGGCGGACTTAAATCAGTACTATTAACGTTACTTTTACGCCCGCAGTTATATGGCTAAAATCGCCTCATCAGATGATTTATGAGCCTGAACACACGCGTAGTTGAAGCACTTTCTTCTTGTACTCTTCTAACTGGCAATCATCCCGTAAACGTGGCATCTGCGAGGGTAAGTTTTATTAATTTAAGCTCTGTGCTAAACCGAACTGGAACTTGGATTCCAAGACTGAATATATTTCAGTCAGCTATTTTTATACTGCCTACCGCTGTACGGAATCCTACACCAATTCTGCCTCCCAGACTTTTGATTGAGGACACTTTTCGTTGAAGAATCCCAAAAAAGTATTTGGCGAGCGGATGCTTGCAGTCGGCAAATTCTCAGCAGGTCGGTTCTTTCTCTCCCACGTCGCGTGAGGCTTATTTGTCTGGCTTTCGCCTTTCCGACATGCAGTAGTGCACTGATTAATATTCGAGTTTTTCGCTATCTCTGGAGTACTTTTCCACCAATCTGCTTCGGGGATTGCCCTCAGCTGATTGTCATTAACTATGGAAGGATGTTCCTGCTCTTTTTTCCCTCACGTGTTCCTGACTTACAGCGCCCCTTACCGAATACTAAGCTAGGATTCGCTTCATTTTCGCCATTGCTAACCCAAGTTTGATCTGGCTAAACAGTGTTGCCTTAATTTGCATTTTTCACAGCTGTGGACCATCTACAAACCGTGAGTGGGCCTGTTTGTGTTTTTGGTTGATGGCTGGTCGAGGGCATGAATAATCCTGAAAAAAAAAACAGCAGCAGCCACATCCTCCCATCCTTGTTTTAAGTCGGTAACGGCTGTTGAGGTTAGACTTCCACCAGTCACATTTCGACGCCTGTTTGGCCTTCAAAAATCGATATTTTCGTTGTTTGAACTTTGAGCGCGCATGCCTGCAGGAAAAAGGCTGGATCTTTCGGCGTTGGGCTACCTCAACCTATGTGTCGGCTCCCTTACTTGCTACTTCCTCTGCGTGGCACTGCTATATGTGAGCTTTATTCCTCCGGGAAGACCATTGTTGTTGCCGATGGCCCTAATCGCTGGCAGCTTTTCGGCAGTTGCCACCTTCGTGTTCTACGTCCTGTATAAGCAACGCCGCAACGTTGGGATAAAACCGTCTCCGGCGCCGGATGCGGTTAAATTGGATACCGAGGAAGCTTTACAGTGATCTTCAGCTCGGAGTCAGAGCAGTTCAGTCGACAAACTTCGCACCGTGCCAATAACCCCCCCCCCCTCTGACCTGCTATGTGCTTGTTTTGGTATTTGATAGTTAATAGACAAAAGTTGTCCTACCCTGTTTTGAATCTCATAGCCTCGAGCTGTTTTCAAATTTTTGATGTTGCGCATAGTAAAGAAGCTAATCGACACTGTTCTCGGCGAACAAAAGCTCGAAAGACGCACGAAAGAAAGTTCGACGCGCTTCCCAGCATCTTCATTTCGGGATATCACGAAGCTGAGTCTCAGAGCGACCTAACTGGAAATACCGTCCACAAGGACAACAAGAGCCCTCACCAAGGATTCTCAGTCCCTCCTTAGCATTTACTCGGCAGAGATATCAACTTCCTATTGATCTATTTGTCTTATAATTGTCTTATTTGGCCGAAATTATTGCCACAGGTCAATCAAATAATAGACCTTATCGACTTTCGAAGGAATAAGTGCCCACAATTGTGGTACAAAATAAAGTCCGATTTACGATAGTCATACTAAGGATAAAGTCTGTAATAATAGAGCTAAGAGGTGACTTATAAAGCAAGGGTTTTGAAGCGATCATCACGAAGCACTGGGGTGGTTTAGTCGCTGCCTAATGGGGTAGGCTGAAATGGAAGACTCAGCGTAAACTCCGCTGTGTGGGTGTAGCATTAGTTGAACTAGTCTGAATACAGGGCAGAATAGCAGCATCCTATGTTGTTCAGTATGGTCGAACTGTTGGACAACCGTACTACTTCCTTTTTATCTAAAAATCAACTCAAGACGGTTTTATGGGGACACTGGTGCACTCCTACAATAATTTACGGCTTCTCTACAGCCGTAGTTTGGCAAGTCACGATAGACATCTTGAAGACATGCTTGATTTAGCAAACTTATGACTATACGAATACGTAGCTTTGAAACTCATGAATGCATAATTTAGGCAAAAATTATATCTATACTGGTTTTCTGGTTCGAGTCCTCAGTAAAACCTCTCTATCCTTTGGCTGGCTAGTATTTTTGCTACTACTGCTTGCCAATTAAATTCGACCCCAGTTAAGGATTTGTCAGATAAACAGTGATCTTCGACCTCTTCTGGTGTTCCCGTGGATTTTAGAGAGGAGAGAAGCCTAAGTGCAAAATAGTGCCTCGTTGCTATCCTCCAAAAATGGGCCTGTTTGCTCCTCGTCGGTGAAACCTTTTGATCATCGTCTCCCTGTCGCCAAGCAAGCTTCTGCCAGAACTCTGGGCAGGAGTTCCAAAACAAAACGACCCAGAACCCAACGACCAGTCGAGCGCGGTTTCTGATTTAGTCTGCCCGGCCCGGGGCTAGTTGGCTGGGCGACCCCAAACAGGTCAGAAATGGTTCTATCATTTATAGCAGGTGCGCCATCCGTTCGGTCAGATAAACCAGCACTTTCCATCCGGAATGACGTTATGAGAAGACTGTCCTGTCTGGCGCAGGACATCAACGACCGCCTCATAACTTTGCGGAAAACCCAATTCGCGGCCTTCATCAGCGCCTCCCACAGTGACCGGATATAACGGCGTGAAGAGCAAGTCCTACGAAGACCTGGACGGCATCGTAATGACTGGGGACAACGTTATTGGCCTTGGGGACTGCAGTGCCTGCGTCGGCATGGGCGGGATCGGCACCTGAAAAAAACAACGGCCTCCTCCTCCTGCAGTCTTACGCGGAACACAGGGTCTCCCCCCCTGACCAACACCTTCCGTCTTTCGCTGTGGGGGAAGGCAAAGTGGATGCGCTCCCGGATCGCGGTGCTGACAGCTGCTGGACTACTTTCACATCCGGAGACGGGGCTGGCGTGACGAGCTAGTAACTGCAATGCCGACGGCCGGAAGGGTTGTGGACCTGTCATATCCAAGATGAGGCTGTGAATCAAATCCCGCAATAGACCATAAGGTAAGCGGTCAACAAGTAAGTTAAGTACGGTTCCGTTGAATTTAAATGCATACGGCTCGAATTTCACCAATCAAGTGACGAATCGTCCGAATCATCTGCACCCCCCGAACGACAGCGCCAACGTAGACACGCAACGATCCCTACAACGGAACGTCGTCCACTTCATGAAGAAGGAAACAGGATCATTGGAACAAGAACTTTATTTGCCCGACGGTTCGGTTTCCTGTTCGAACCCATCATCAAAGACAACAGCAGATAGGGGTAATTCATACACAAGGGGCTGCAGTATCTATAAGATGCAGTCGCCATGTTGTCGCATACCTATGAAAATTCAAGCCTTCCCCCACGGTCCCCAGTCTATTAACGAGTGCACTGACTTTCTCATTCCATACTGGGTGCTGGGGCCGCCTATGCGGAGTAATTAGCCACGCGGGGAGCGCACAGGTGAACACTGTTCACCTGTGGGTCGGTGGGTCAGCTGGTCGGGCAGTCCTCACACCAGCATCCAACACCCGTGATGAAAGTGCAGCGATTAACGACGCGAATGTCGACCATCAAACGATCATCACACCAAGAGACACAATCCCCGAATTTTCATAGGTATGTAGTAACAGGGCGATTGCATCCTATAAATACTGTTGTCCCTTGTGCATGAACCACCCGTATCTGCTATTGTCTGTGGCTGATGCAAAATGTTTGTGAATAGAAAGAATGAGAACTGCGAGACCTGCAACGAAACGCCGACTTTTTCCGCACCAATCAAGACCCATACCAAAGGAAACGCGCCGCTGCTCAGTTCTAATTGAAAAATACCCCCCGTGGAGAGATCGAAGCTTCTGAAGAGTTGGAATGGGCATGTCAGAAGCGTCCTCAAACTGTCATCCACAATCTCCGGCAAAACAATCGACTGGCATCCTCAGCTGGAAACGAACAGTGTCCTAAACCCGCTGCCTTCCTTCCCGAAACAATTAAGACAGGTTCCATGAGCCGATGTAATCTCGGCCGAAGTCTACAAGTTTGACGGTCCGCAAATCATGGTAAAGCTCACCTTGCTGTTTCAGGCGATGTGACTTCAAAGACAAGCTCCTGGAGACTTCGTGGGCGCTACCATTGAGTATATTTATAAACGCAGTGGAAAGCGCTAACTCTATATTAAAAACCGGGGCATGCCCCCCCCCCAACATCGCTACAAAAATCTTCGTCCGCGTCCTCATCAACCGCTCCAAGAAGCACCCCAAGTAAGTAATGCTTACGAAAATCTAGTGTGGAATTCGACAAAGCCACGGACATGACCTTCACATTTCGCCAACTTCAGAAAAATGTGAGGAAATGAAGACTGACATCTGTTGCCTTCGTGGATTTGACGAAGACCTTTGGCACGGTAAACTGCGATGATAGTAGACAAGTGTCGGAAATGGTAATACTTATATATATCCCAACATCCCTTCGGGGCTTCATGATCAACAGAATATTTCTTGAAGAAGTGTATAGCGAAACGCTCATATAAAACGTACGAGGCTCGGGTGTTCCACACTTCGGGCTTGGGTATGGCTGGCTGACGACGGCTAATACGCCAGAAATGGCCATTCCAGTCTTCCTAGTCTTTGTCGGTAATATCATTCTGCCTATATATCATGCGCCGCTGCGCGGCTGCTGGTTGGGCTCGAGCGAGAGCCCTTAAGGCACAACGGAACGAGTGAGTTCCGTATGAACGATCGGTGAGCGCCCCCTAACATAAAACGTGCTTATGTTGTGCCTCTACTCGGGGCCCCTGTCTCTACTCTGGGTCCCTCGCGAGCGTCTGCACGTGTGCATCAGGGCTGCCTGGCATTCGCCCACTCGGCTCTCCAACTGGCCAATCAGATTCAAGGCCGAGTCAGACGTGTCTTGGCTTAAGACATTGTGATACATTCATTCGGACACGGGACACCGCTCACTCGGCGCCGGAGATACCCCTGTCCGGTCCGCAACTCTCCCGAGCTGCTTCTCCAGTTAGTCCGTACGGAGTATATTATTCTCGCCACTGACGTCCGCCTTCTCTGTCCGCATTTTCCGCATTTTTCATGTAGCTAGGGGGCGGCTGGTTCAAAATGGAATCCATAATGACCAAAATGTGAAAAACTCGGTGCGTCGATGGTATAGGAACCTACAACAGCAAGGGGGGGGGCTTCAGTACAGCCAACGCTCTAGCTACCCGATCTAAGAGGCTGGGCGGGTAACTTGATCCAAATGTGATTAAAATCACGTCTTCCGGTAGGTCCCCGTAGCTGAGGTAGGTAGAGCGTTGGCTGTACTAGTGCCGCACCCTTGCAGTCGTGGGTTTGAATCCCACCGATGCGTCGAGTTTTTCACAGTCGGATCAGTAGGAATTATTCAGAATCTGCCAAAATATCTGTCATCTGGGATTCACATCAGTCATCTGGCAGAATATCTTGCTCAAGGCGGTTTAGTCGATTCAGTAGAAATTGGTCGTAGATTTCACTTACAATGTTGAGGACGGAGAGACCTCTCTGGTTATCCCAGAGATATCAGTTGCCCTTTACTTCTGAGCAGGCAGAATCTGTTGGAGACTTTGCAGTCCTGGGGGCATTGGTCTTGTCTGCACATCTCCTGAAACAGTCAGCTGAACTTGTTAGTGCCGACCTCTCGTACATTTGCGCCGGAATTGGATCTGCACCATATGTTTTGCCGCCCAACGTCTGCTGTACAGCGCTGTGGATCTCCTGTTAGGTGGGCAGACGGTCTCGGTCTGCACTCGTCTCCTTAAAGAGGGAGTTTGTCGGTGCCTCCCTCAGATGAAGTGGATGGTCGATTGCGGACGCCTCTGAAGTGGTCAGTCTAACGCCTCGGAACTCAGAACTGTTCTGTCTGGAGGGTTGTCTGGTAGAAGATGAACAGCGGCCAGTCCTGGTGTCCGCCAAGGAGTTCTTAATTTCAGTACGGTCTGCGTACCCATAGTTTTCATCAGCCTCAGTAGGCCGTTTTGTGGATAAGGTAGGTCATGTGAAGTGGATTATTCTCGAAGAGCAAGTGACACATTTCCTTGTCGTTCGGTCAAACCAGCCTTTCTGATGACGGCATGGGCAAGCGAGGCTTTCCGAACCGGTCGCGTCCACCATACTGCTCTACTGCTTCCCAGCATTTTCACTCCTTCCGAGTTCTTTCAGCCAATCAGTCTAAGATCCATTTGGCAGCCGAAAAAGAAGCGCAGGTTCGTCGTCCGAGTGACTCTGAGGCTAGCGTCTTAAGCGAAGGCATGTCTGCGACAGCCTCGGGCTTGGCTGGTCAGTTTGTATAGCTGCGATTGATCGGAAACCAGACTGCTGCTACAACGTTCGCTACAAAGTACTCGCTGGGGGCGCAGTTATGCAACAGGCGCTGGGACTAGGGTCACTACAAGCTTTTGACTGAACTCCTGTGAAACTGTGGAAACCAGACCTATGGGAAGGTCTGGGTGATTTTCTCACCCTGTCGGCTGAGGGCTTGACTGCAGCAATAAGGAAGAGATGGGCTAAACGTGATTTCGATCGTACACAGGTGAAAAGCTGATGATGTATGGCCTTTTGCAGACGTAAGTGGTGCCGTTGGAATAATCTGCCTTGCGATTTAGGACGTGTTTTGAGCTTGCCGCAAGCCGCATTTTTCGCCCGTCCAAGAACGCTCGCTGGGCAAATCACCAAAACACAATTCAACAGAAAGGGTGGACGAAAGTGTGTATTGACGTATTCTGACAATATACAAAAGGCGAACAAGGGATTGTGGGAATGTCCATCGTCGGATTGAAACACGACCAATCAGACAGTCCTTGAGTAGCTGTTATATCAGATTGTGAGCGTCCGCTATGCCGTGATCGGCAGACCATGGGTCTCGCAGCTAGGTGCGCGCTGGCACTTCTCCGGTACCTGGTTATCTAGCTGCATACACACGCTTGCGCTGCCCCGGTTATACGGGTCGTGGGCATGGCTGTTCAACCATCCACGTCCTTTCTGTTGGTGTCGTTGTTAGCCAGAATTCTAGTCAAGTGTTTGTTGAGAACCAGGGGGTTTGGAATGAAGCACCAAGGCGCGGGTTCGGCAGCGCCACCTACCTGCGCTCTCCCCGCCTCCGGTCTTCTTGACTCTGTCTCGACAGCGGGCTTAGGTGGGGTGGAGGAGGAGGAGGAGAAGGAGGAGGAGGAGAGAAAACGGTATACTCTGCGCAATTCTACCCCCATTATGAGCTAATTCAGGTGCAAGTCACCGAGCCTGCTTCACCTTGCTGTGGAGCCCACGGTTGACACCGTCGGATGCGACGACCGAACTATCACCATGCCGGCTGGACTTCTGGCCCATCTAACTGATTGTGTAACCAGCCAATCCTTTCGGGAATTGGCACGACATCAACGCGCGCACCGTGTGTGAGCAGACGGTTGGAGCGGCGTTATAACAGAATGGCTGGTTGGTATCTATGGTATCCTTTTATTTCCACCAAACGGCTGTTCCTCTGTGGTGCTGAAACCGTTACCCACAAAGCGATCCCTGGTCTGGGGTTTCATAAGTTTGGACGGCTCGTCTGTATGCACCGGTCTTCAGACCATATGCAGGTGTCTCTATGGATTACGCTGTCTCCGTTGGTGATTGTTCCTAGTTTGCAAATAAGTGCTTGTTCCTTCAAGCCACTGCCCTCAGGAATTAATTGAAGTATTTCGTTTCGATTTTGCAAGCCTAAAGGGAAAGTTAGGATGTTCGGGGTCTCACCTAGCTCATGCCCGCATTTTAAGTAAGCAGCTTTTAGAAAGGCGGAATAAGTTAAGAACTAGAAACCGGTGTACGTGGTGCCAAACCGCAGAAAGCGGATAGGATGTGAGGATCACCTTGGGCTCCCTGTCTAAAGAGTCCTGCCCACTCAGTGACCCGCGGCCGGCTAGGCTACTTGGTGAACGTCGAGTTTCTGCCACTGACACGGGTCTAGCGAGTTCTGTTTTTGCACAATTCGGCTGGGTCTTTATTCTCCGCTGTGCTTGACGTAACTCTATCCCTTCACCACCCTGACTTAGAAAGCAACTGTTTTGAAGTTAGTCGTGCCTATTCAGTCGGTCATAGCTGCAGCGGCGACAGAGGCCGAATACCCCGTGTCAGTTGACTGCTTGTCGATGTCGCAAAGCCGAACGGTACTTTGGTCATCACGGATTGGCCGTCCTCAGGCATGACTCAGGCGCATGCACATACCCCGCACTTGAGGACACGGCATTGACGGCTTTCTTTCGGCTTCATCAACACTTTTGCTGCCGACGAATCCCGAGTTTTTTGGCCGCTCCTTCGCTGCAGTAAAAACTGTCCAAGTAGCTGTGTATTTCTGGCTTTTATACTTGAAAAACATCTCATTGTCTAATGATTGCACTTCGCCACATACCTAATCAACAACAACTACGGCCTGAAAGGCGAGCAAGCACACTCACATTGCAAGCAGGCACAAAAGATGGGGCATCGGCACGATCAAGTCGAAGTTCACTGTCATCCTGCGCCTTTTCATCTCCACCAGAGCGCGTGTACTAACTTTTTGTCTCGTGTGCTTTTAGGTGACGGCTCGTTAGCGGTTCAACCGTCGTTAACGACGATGTCCACCATGTGCCCAACAGCATTATGAACGCAGAACGGGGACATGCGCGTGCACTAGATCCTAGTGATAGTAGACCTACACAGCATCTGCCGTGCCTGGATCCGTACCTGGATCCGGCGGCAAGACAGCGTTAGGGCGACCGAAGATCGGCTCGGGTGCACTGTCTGACGAAGCTATAAAGCCCGTCTGCGCGTGCCACACATAACCCAATTACCGCACTGTGGGCCAGGTTTTCACGGAAAGAGGCGGCTCGGAGTCCACCTGGGCGGATGTTTCCTCAAAGTCACATTAGAAAGGAGCCATTGAGCCTGATTCTCAGTCCGCAAACCAGTTATCCCAAAGACAAACCTAGACCATGAGGATCGGGTTATCTCCTTTAGTTGGCAGCCTTCCAAGCTACAATGCATTATAGTGAGGGTTTTTGATCTGAAAAGCAAGATGATGGGTCGCGCACCTGATTTTGCGCGTTAAAACACTCCCATCTCCTCAACGCCCACCCGGCTAGCTACTTCCGCCTGAATAAAGACCCCTTGAGTAGGAGGAAATCCCCTGAACGGGGCAAATTCCTTCTCAAGGAATCTAGTTGCATTTCTCTACGTGGTCTCAGAACAGATCTCTGCACAACGCTGTAAGCAAATAGCAGCATTTGATGAAATCGCGTAGAAGGACATGTCCTCCTGGCAGCACGTGGCCAGCAAAATGAGCATTTGCATTTAACCCTTTCTCAGTGCCTTACTGCGAGATCGCTTTTGCCTTCCCGTCTCATCGAGACACATGCGGATTTTGTATGTGGCTTGCATGCGTTTGCAGTTAGCTTTTGTGAAACCTACAGTAGGTCGCACCAGACTGAGAACTAAACGACCCTCTTTAAAAGCACGTGAAATCTTAGTGAAAGTCATGTACGCTAGTTTTACCGACAGTAGGGAACGAACATGTCCTTTGACGGTTCTAATTCTTCTTAAAGCAAACAATTTTAATTCATTATTTCGAATAAGATCTATTCAATCAGGAAAACACAGGTTACAGTACGTTCCTGTCCTTCCCCAAAACCAGGCAAGCTCTGTTTTTGCGTCCAATTGCCGCGACGCTGCATTCAGCGTAGATATAAATTGTACCAAAGAACCTACCGTAGGTGGGTAAAAGGACGTTTTCTTTCGCCTTGGAATTAACCATAGGCGGAACCCTCATAGATGAGAAGTAGTCAACAGCGCAGTATACTAGCGACAGAACAATGGGGCAAGGCAAAGGAGAAGGAATAGTCGATTCCCGATCCAGTACCACATGTGTCCCAGTTGCTTTGTGGTGAATTTATAGAAAATATCAATCTCTGAAAGTTCCTTTTGCCAATCACACACTTGGTTCCCTACCGTCATCTCCTTCCGCCTAGTCTATGATCCTTCTGTGTCATTTTTATAATAACCCGGGGGTTGAACTTTATATCCATTAAAACGGGCTGCCCTGTTTCGGATGGCTAGTCCGAAGAACCTTACATGGTCCTCTGAATAGAGGCTCGTATAGTTTTCTCATGCACTGTCTGGCATCCTACCTAATAATGCATCTATAGTAACATTAGAGTACGATTTTTTGTGTCAGTATTTGACTTGCCACTTACCACCTAACATGAAAAAGGTCTGTCAAACTATAGTTGTAATAGCAAGTTAAAATTTTCATTTTTTTTCGAAAAAAAATAAAAGACGGCTGCGGTCTCGAAAAAAAACACTCCGAAAGAGGGTCGTAGAGGTAAATTCACTTGTTCCGCTGTCTATCACTTCTATCGATGTCTCTCTGTCAGCCGCTCTTTCTCTCTAACCGTCAGCAATTCCCCATTTTTGGACGAGTCGAGTTCGAACTCAGGATTACCTAGGTCGTGGTCCAGAGATGAAAAAACCAACAGTCGAGGCCTCCCTACGCTTGCGATTTTTCGACTGCGAACGGG